CTTTCCCTCTCCCTTTACTTCCCCATATGAAATTCTCTTAGGAGAAATCCTGTGGTTAAGTTTAGATTTGCCTTACTGACTTAGAAGGGAAGTGAGATGACACTTTGGAAATGAGGAGATGTTGAACAGGGAAGCGTCTGCTGGGCTCTGCTGATGCCATCGGTTTCTTACCACGGAACCAGGTGTGCCATCTGTTCCTCTCACACTTCCCTGTTGGCCGCAGGTGCTGAGTGTTGCTTCTCATCCTTGGGCTGGTGCCTAGTGAGACTCATTTCTCTTCCAAGGCTCTCTGTGGACTTAGTAGCATTCAGCATTGCAAGACAGTTGCGTGGGGTGTGGATTGGATGTGTGGATTTTAAAAATGTCTGCAGCTCATCTAAGTTCTTAGCGCTTTTCATAGCTAGATCATTTTTGATGCTGATTCTATCCCTTTGACCTGTTGTTTACCTTCTACCAGAGTATTATAAATACGGTAATATTTATAATTTTGAAATTTTATCTAGTAGTGGCTTAATTAGTATTTTCTTGCTATTTAGAGACTTTTTTGAAGTTGACGTTTATGTAGAAATTTAAGTTACGAGGACCCCACCGCTCTCCATTCCTTACTCAGCCTTTGGCCCAGACACTTCTGTCCTATCCTAATAATAAATACAGTTATTTTGTGGGTTTTTTGGTGCTCCGAGAGGCCACGGAAAGAAATCCAAAGGCAAAGACTGAGGATTACACATTCTTGTGTTCAGCCTGTTTTTCAGTGATAGCTCTGTTATTGAATGTTTAAGCAAATTAGGTTGCATACTTGGAAACCCAAACGGGTGGTCTTGTTTGTGATGTGCCTCACTGGGTTCACTTGCAGTTCTCAGTAATGCTGTTGTCCCACTATTGGGAAATGTGATTCCCCCAAGTTGATACTGCCTCGTTTGTTTGTTTGGAAGAGTTTTCAAGGCACTTCCTAACTTGTCTCTTATCGTAGTCCTTTCATCCAAGGTTAGTTCTGTTTTCCTCCTTTCATGTTACAGATGAGAGAAGCAGTGTGTAGGGAGATCAGGTGATTTTTCCTAACTTTCTGCCGCAAATTAGCATCAGGTCCATGACAGCTCTCCATTTTCTACCGCCATTCTGTTGTACCACACCAAGCAGAGCTGTATTCTGTTTATCCAAGGAGGCATGGGTTCTCCCATTTTCTTGACAGAATATTTACTTTGGTAATGCAAGAGAGACATGAAAGCATGTTATACTTTTTATTTTTCTCTTTAATGATTTGGACTACAGAACATCTTTATGAAATGTTTCAGCTTCTGTTGACCCTTATTGAGAACAAAGGGCTGTTAGCAATAAGATGATTTTATTCCACTCTTAACAGTATATGCCTTTGACAGATAGAAGATTCTAGTGCCTTTTTGTGAATTTGCAACTCGAGTTAAAATATGGGGCCAGCCCTGTGGCCTAGCAGTTAAGGGATTCAAATCCCATATGGCCAACTGCACAGTTGAAGTCTCAGCCTTGGTGGCTCAGAACCCACCTTGGTGTTTGTAACTGCATACCTAAAATCTCAGCAGAATGTAGAAATGGAAGAGAAGGAAATGAGGCATTATCACATCCCATTGAGAAGTGCTTTCACCTTCCTCTGTCTCCATCTCTGTTTTCTCTGGCAAGCTCATATGTTCACTGGCAATTATAAAAAAAAAAAGTCGAAATACCAAATATAAAATATCCAGATACTAGTTACCTTTTTAAAAACATCTGAATGCTTTCCTTAATGTAAAATATCCCTTCATATCCTGAAAATGTGTCTTCTTGATAAATAAATGGGTTTATTCCCACTTACTGATTTATCTTGACATACAAAAATGGAGATTTAGTATGTCCTATCACTGTAGGTTATAACCATGACAATGTAAACCTACCATCCAGGGTAGACCTTCACCAATAACTTGAAACTGATCTGTATTTGCTCCTCCCTTATCCTTGAAACTTAACTCCTACTCAGTTAATGATAAGTAGCTATCAATATTTTGACTCTTATGTTATTCTCTTGTTTATTAGTTATATGCCTCAATGATATATTGTTTAGGTTCGCTTGGTTTTTGAGTTTTATAAAAATGGTATCAGACTGTATGTACTTATCTAGGACTTTTTTTACATTGTATTTCCAAAATGTATTTATGTTGTGGATGTAACTGTAGTTCATTAATTTTTAGTGCCATAATATATATAATAGTCTGTTGTGTGAATATCTAATGTAGTTTTCATTCTCTTGTTGATTAGCGTTTAGGTTGTTGCTAGTCTTTTGCTATGAATAGTGCTGCTTCTGTAAACAATTTGTATGCAGTATCTATGATTTTTCTTGAATCATTGTGATTATATAGAAGTTAAAAAATGTATTTCCTTGGGTTTTACTTTGACTTTATGAGTAGACAAAATTATACAAATTGGTACTATCTGTTAGGATATTTTCTTTTTTAAGAAAAGGGATTGACTTTACAAGTGAAATTTGAAATTTAGGGGACTATACAGCCTTCCTGAGACATTTTCATGCAGTCATTTATAAGACGACATAAATGTCACAGTCACGTCATCCTCACAGCTGCAATACTGAATGAGTCTCTATAGTCAACTTTATAGACATTAAAAAAATCTTTAGTTTTTCTCAAAATGGTCTCATTTTAGCATCATCATTTTTGCAGAGGAAAACAATCCCTTTCTAAGTTAAAAGTTTGGGCTCTGAAGGCTCATTTGTGAATGCCATTTAAAATTTATTTTTAATTAAGGGTATTTAATGTTGGTACGAGGTGCCAGACATTCAGCGCTCTGGAGACTCCAGGCATCTATCTATCTACAGAACAAGCCTGGCACAGGCAGTGAAGGTGCATTCTCCTTCCTGCTGTGTTTCTGTCTGTGTCCAGAGAGAGGAATTGCCTCAGTGAGAGGTGTCCTCGTCTTTGGGCCCCCCACTCATTACCAAGCATGCATCTAACCAGCAGAAGGCCCTCTAGTAACCATAGTTTGATTATGTGAAATTCAGCTAAACTCTTGCCAATTCATTTTACCCAGTCTACTAAATTGCCATCTAGCGTTAATGACTTTGGGCTCCTGTCAGCCTGGTTTAATTCGAGCTAGGAATCCAGTGCCAGAAGCATTCTCTATTCCCTTCATTGGCCATCCCAGGAGATTCCTGCTTTTTCCTGCGAGGAAGTTGGATCTAATTGGTCTTTTCCTTTTTCGTTGTTGTTGTTGTGTTTAATCAGTATTTTGGAGTTGTAACACTTCTACTTTTGGTATTACTGTTACATCAAAAAAGTGAAGATGTTAATATGAGAAAGTGGCTGAACCAAATTACAGATCTTAAGAGGACAAGATAAACTCTCTGTGGGGCGGTTTGTGCTAGGTCCTAGACTATTAAATTAATGTTATAATCTGGCTGTGGCAAATGTGCTACTAATAATTAGTTAACTTAGCTGCTTTGTTGGTCAAGACTGAAACAGCTGGTTTTAAACAAATGTATAAGTTTCTTGACCTGATAGTAAATACCTCATTCTTGCACAGAGGGACTGCAGGTCACTTGGCTGGGGCATGAACTTTGCCTCTGGGTTTATGGCTGTATTTGAGGGATGACTTGCATCTCGAACGTTACAAGAAACTAGACCATTATGCTCTTAAGCTGTCGTTCTCATCTGACTATTAGGAATAACCGGAGTGGGGAATGAATTTTCAAGCTTTGTGAGTTTTGATTTTTAACTTTTCTAACCCACTGTGATTTAGAGTTGAAGCAAAATGGTGGTGGTTGGCAGTGAACTACAAGGTTAGATTGGTAACTGACGTTTATTTTTTAGTATTATTCATGTGGTTTATAAATCCTTGAATTTGGTACCCTGACAAATTGATCCGAGTCTTACTAAGCCATATAGAGGTTAGCTTGGGTTTCATCTAGGCTGAACAGTTCATTCAGCTGGTTAGCAGTGGGCTGCTGCTGAAGCCCTAGTGGGAGGTCGCGTGCCCCTGTAGCCGCGGTCGTAGTTGTCCCAGCCGGAGGTGCCTGTCTCTGCTACAGCTGCACATCCTGTATGTCATTGTTCCAAGTGGCAGAGGAGGGGCGTAAAAGCCTGGAATACCCACCCAGTTGCCACTACTGGGAAGATCCTCCAAGCCCAGTCCTTGCTGACAGTGTCAGTCACGTCATGTTCATCAAACTAACATTTCTGAGAAAGCGCCAGTTATTTGGGAGGCCCTTCAGAAGCTGTGCTTCATGTGCATGTTCCAGACCTGACGGTAACAAGTGAAGGCCTGCTAGGCTCGTTACTAGATTCTTTTCTCTAGAGAGTTTAATTTAAATGGTAGCTATCTGTAGGAGTTCTTTGTATTTCACTTTCTGCTTAAGGCAGAATAAGGTCAGTATTTGAGGTTTAACATTCGTTTCTATCAGTTTTTAATTCACTCATTCATTCATTCATTCCATGAGTGAGGCACCCCAACAGGGTGTTCACTCTGCGACTCACCCGGTTTCAGCATGCCCCCAGCACACTCAAGGAGATCTGAGAATGTGAACCCAGAAACTTTTATGTGGGTCCAGTATTACCACCTGGCCCTATTTTTGTCAGCTTTTTACAGCTTTGCCGAGGTGTGTAATGCTGGGGAGGTAGAGCTTCTCAGAAATTAGAGAAGGGGCCAACCCCATAGCCTGGTGGATAAAGGACCTAGATCCCGCATGACCAACTATGCTTTGCATTCCCACCTTGGTGGTGTGAAAAACACCAGGCATGTGTGCATATTTGCCCGAAGTCCCAACAGAGTAGAGAAATGGAGGAGAAGGGATTGTGGTGTGACCACATCCCACTGAGGGATGCTTTCTCCCCCCTCCCTGTGTGTGTGTATCTCAAGTGAGCATTCATATCCTCTGACAATTAAAAAAAAAAAAGAAAAAAGAAAGAGGAGGGAGGAGTTGGAGATTGGCATGTCTCTTTCCTCGCCCTGAGATGGAATAGAATAAGATGATTGTGATAGATAAGAAATTACTTGATGAACAGGATAAAGCCTGGCTTTGTAGAGATGGTTTCAAGATTATAACTGGGGCCAGCAGGTGGCATGGTGGTTAAGGTACTGAATCCCACATGGCTGACTCCACTGTTGAGTTTGAATGCCAGACGCAGGGTCTTGAAAAATACACCTGGCATGTCCATGCATGCCCAAAATCCCAAGAGAAGAATGGAGGAAAAGGGATTGTGGTGTGGCCATTCACCCCTAGGGGGTGATTTCTCACTTTCCCTCTCTTCCCACATGCCTGACCATGGTTCAAGTTCTGGTCCTAGTAGCTTGTAACTCATGCCGGGCACGTGTGCATTCATGCCCGAAGTCCCAACAGAGTAGAGAAATGGAGGAGAAGGGATTGTGGTGTGACCACATCCCACTGAGGGATGCTTTCTCCCCCCTCCCTGTGTGTGTGTATCTCAAGTGAGCATTCATATCCTCTGACAATTAAAAAAAAAAAAGAAAAAAGAAAGAGGAGGGAGGAGTTGGAGATTGGCATGTCTCTTTCCTCGCCCTGAGATGGAATAGAATAAGATGATTGTGATAGATAAGAAATTACTTGATGAACAGGATAAAGCCTGGCTTTGTAGAGATGGTTTCAAGATTATAACTGGGGCCAGCAGGTGGCATGGTGGTTAAGGTACTGAATCCCACATGGCTGACTCCACTGTTGAGTTTGAATGCCAGACGCAGGGTCTTGAAAAATACACCTGGCATGTCCATGCATGCCCAAAATCCCAAGAGAAGAATGGAGGAAAAGGGATTGTGGTGTGGCCATTCACCCCTAGGGGGTGATTTCTCACTTTCCCTCTCTCTCTGTCTCTGTCTGTCTCTCTCCAGTGAACCCACGTGCCCTATGGCAAAAATCTGGAGAAAAAAACAAAAAAGTGTAACATTAGTGTCTAAGCGCACTACAGCAACAAGGTAAAGTCATCTCTCCACCCACCGGGAAGAAAATTCCGATAACATAAACAATGGTTTGTGTTTCCTTGTCTTTCACAGGTGAGTGTGGTGCAAGATTCTGTCAACATTTCTGGCCAGAACACCATGAACATGGTGAAGGTGCCCGAGTGCCGGCTGGCAGACGAGTTAGGAGGGCTGTGGGAGAATTCTCGGTTCACAGACTGCTGCTTGTGCGTCGCTGGCCAGGAATTCCAGGCTCACAAAGCCATCTTAGCAGGTTGGTGTCGTGTCATGGGGAGTTTTGTTGTCCTGGTGAAATGGAGAAATAGTGGCTGCCTAATCACCTTTTGAATAACTTCAGCTTTTTAAATTCTGCTCTAAAGAAACTACAGCTAAATACATTTTTATATTGTGGTGACATTTGTTCTTAAAACCAAAAAGGCTGCTCTCCATAAAAGTAGTGTTTCTACGTGTCCTCTCTGTAGGGGGCTTAGGCCACTGTTTTCAGAGAGTGGACGGTATTACGCGAAGGTATTAAGTAGGTTTTGCTCCTGGAGAGTAGCTGTTGGAACCCTGGTGGAGAGCAGCGATCAGCCCCTCGTCGGAGGCTTAGGATGTAATGGAGAGGATCACAGACTCAGAGCCAAACACCGTGTGTTCCATCCCAGCCCTGGGGGTTTAGCCCTCTCTTCGATGTGTAAACACACTAGAAGAACATTGTTGTCTCTGACATGGAGGATCAGATCTTGCTCTAATAGGCCCTTGGTCTTTTAAGACCGGAAAGACTGAGTGACTGACAAGGGAGGATTGACGAGGGAGGACTGACATCACTTCACATGAAAGAGTAGCAGCTAGCCACAGACGTCTCTTGAGACTGTAAGACCTAAGAGGAGATCATATGAACCTGCAGGTGACACTTCTCACCAAGGGCCTCAATCCCCTTAATCCAGCCATCTTCCTGTTTGTTCCCAACTAGGCGCTGAGCTCAGGGACGTCCCTAACTCTTAGGTTAGAGTCTCCATGCGTGGCAAGGCCTTTAACACTGCCTGTAAACCTTTCTGCAGGTTATGCAGTCAGCTCCCTTTCTTTTTCTCAACAATAGCTATTTCGAACCCTGACCACTCTCCCTTAGCCTCCTCCAACTCCTACAAGATGGTCTTGCTTACGTCTTCCAAGAGAAATTGAGCTCGTAGGAAGCATCTCCACTCTTCCTCTCAGCTCACCCGCATCCTCAGTGCAGGGGGTGTTCTTCCGCAGTGCAGAGCAGACTCTGGCCCACCTCTGCTCTGTTTCGTCCCATCTGCTGCCCTCTCAGGAGCCTTGCTCTGCCAGTCACACCCTGGTATCTGGTAACCCCACTCCCTCTCATTGCCCATTCACCCTCAGCCTGCAAGTGGGCTAAGCTTCTCCCTCTAGTTTTTCTTCTCTCTCTTTTTCCTGAGTTAGCATATTCACTCTCTTCTTCTTTCCTCCCACTTATCCTCAGCTCACCTCCATGCTGTGGGAGACTTTTCTTCCCAAAGTTCCATGGCCTGATAGTTCCTGAATGTGAGGCACTGTTAGTCTCAGACATCATTGGACTGCTCTCTCCTGGTCTTCTCTGAGCTCTCTGGGCTACATCTAACTTGCGGCCTCCTTCCCTGTCCTTCACCGTCCCTCTTGTTCACTGGTGAGCCATAAGGGTCCGCTTCTGCTTCACTCTGCCACTTCTCCCCAGGTGATTCGAGCTCTTCCTGTTGCATCAGCTGCTGCCTGTCTACTGACGGCCTCTGAGGCATACCTGCTGCTTTGGACCGTTCTCTCTTTATAGAACACCCCAGCCCTTTAGTCTTCAGCTTCTGTAACGTATTTATTTAGTGCCTTTCTGCAATCTGGAAGCTCTGTGGCCCACTTTGAATCCTTGGAGTGACCTGAAAACATACCAGGGGCATGCATACATGGGTGTCCAGGATCCTGGGGAGCCAGAGGCTGGGGGGAGGGGATGGTGGCATGATGAGACCCCATCGAAGATGCTTCTCCCTCTTTTTCTCTCCCAAGTGTGTGTGTACTTTCTATCATGAAAAAGAAGAAAAAATGGCAAAGCTAAAATTAGTCATTTCTGACATACATAAACTGTCATCGAGGAGTTCTAGTCCTGTGTTAGCTCAGAACCCTACTACATATTCTGTCTGCTCACCCACTTTTAGGTGGTGGTTGGTAGTCTCAACTTTGACAAAAACCCCTAATTTATTTGACAATACGAAAAATTTGAATTCTTAGCCATTTTAGTACTTTCATGGTTGAAATTAAGTTTACCTCTGTTTCATAGTCTTAGTTGTAACTACTACAGTGACCAAGGGTCAGAGTGCTGCTTCTCTATCTTTTTCCGTTATCCCCAGCGCTAAGGAGGAACACTAAGCTTAAATTTTCCCTTATGGGAGAAATTAAATACTAAGGAAGATTGTTTTATCAGATAGGGCTGAGCACTAAAGTACCACAGACCACTGTAATATCTAAGATTTTTTTCCATCCCTTTGGGGAAATACCACCTCCACTAAGAATGCATAGCTCGAAAGAACAGACACCCGGCCATGAGCTCGCTCACACTTTATCAGGTCAGCGGGAGCCATTGAGCCCCAGTGCTTGACCTTGCGTGGTCCCTAAAGGTGGGGGAAGTGAGCTGTCATTGTTCCTAGGCCAACTCTCAGGTATTGGAATGCCCCGCTCAGATGATGGAGCACCTTCCATTTCCAATCCCAAATCAACACGGAGCATAGCATAGTCAGCCGACATAGATGTTGAGAAAGCTCCTGAAAGTCAGACTGGTGAGGATAGAGCCAATATAAAATGACTTTTACAAATACATTCTTTAAAGTTTTATGTATTTCTTCCATGAGCGAGACAGATAAAGAGAGAAAGAAATGTCAAGACCCACCGGGGTCTTGACACTACAGTCCACCGCCAGCCTCAGCCAGCACCATAGCGAGGGCATGTGCTTGCCCCATGTACTCAGGTCTTCAGATGCAAACCCAGAATTGCCCCTGTGGGCCAGCCTCACAGAGTGCCGTGTGACCCTGCTGCACCACCGTCCATCCCCATTGGAAGTTAGTTTGAAAAGTAGTCATTTCTTTTTTTTCCCTTATTTATTATAATTATTTACTCCTTCATATATTATGTGAAGAAAGGAACTTTGTAATTCTGGTATAATCTGAGGTTGAATCCCTCAAATTATGGGACAGGAAAGAAAATGATCTCTTCATCGTAATTGGAATCCAGGGTGTTTCGGTAGAATAACCTTATCTGTTTGTCTCCTTTTCACTTTACAGCTCGCTCTCCAGTCTTTAGTGCCATGTTTGAACATGAAATGGAAGAGAGCAAAAAGGTATGTCACAGCGTGGAGACATGGCTTTTTACCCTGGCAGCTACATCGAGATTGTTTCCCAGTTTAGCAGTACATATTTACATTTCCAATTATTTTTTTCTTACTGCATTATTAAAATGGAGTACAAGTCCCTGAGCAGATGCTCTGAAAGTGAAGAGGGGTGGTCCGGAATGTGCTAAGTAAAGTGGACTCACTTCATCCCCAAGCAGATAGTCCAGTTTGTGATGAGGTTTTAGAGAACTCAGGAAACAAAAGGTGAAAAAAAAAAAAAATCAAAGATATGAAGGGTCTTCAAATGAGCCACAGAAAATGCATATTATGAAAAAACTATGCCTAGATTTCAAAATTTGTTTACACCCATATAAACTCTTTTCTTTTTTAAGAGGGCACATGCAGTCAACAGAGAGTGAGAGGATAGATAAAGCACCCCGGGGATGTGGTCATGTCACAATCCCTCGTCCTCCATCTCTCCCTCCTTTTGAGATTTGGGGCATGTATGCACATGCACCCATCATGCCCTCGTCCTGCTAGATCCAGGACTCGACCTCATGGTCGGTCAGGTGGGATCCAGCTGCCTTAACACCAGACCACATAACCAGCTCTAAGTTCATATTTTAATTCTGTCATCCATGAACTGTTAAATCCCCTCATTGTTTTGCTGTTTTATTTTTAAAAAACCAAGATGATACTAGTGAAAGGAGAAAAGCCTATTATAATCAAATAGGGCAAAAATAAATTTTCCATTCATGTTAGGTTTTAAATGGTATAAGCGTCTCTCCTCACCAGAGCTTAGAATTATGAAACTAGTGTGGGAATGCTGTTCTGTTGAACGTTTCTCATTTTTAGTTTTTCTGCCATAGAATCGGGTTGAAATCAATGATGTGGAGCCTGAAGTTTTTAAGGAAATGATGTGCTTCATTTACACGGGGAAGGCTCCGAATCTAGACAAAATGGCTGATGATTTGCTGGCAGCTGCTGACAAGGTGAGATAAGAATAGAGAAACAGACCCAGCCTTGGTGCACACAGGTAGTTCCACCACTTGGGATGCTGAGGGCCTCATAGGAGGCCCAGGTCCACTTCTAGGCCATTGCACATCCTACCTAATTGGGAGATTGGGGCAAGGGGATAATAGTGTAGCAAGACTCTCTCTCTCTCCATCTTCTATCCCTCTCTCCCTCCCCCTCCCCTCTCCACAAAAGGAGGAAGAGAAGAATATAAAAATAATTCAACTCTAGGAGTTACTGTTACCTCTTGAGTCTCATGAACAGACTTCTGTGTTGCATTGTTGGTAAAATGAGATATAGCCTGTTTAACTAGGACAGTCCTGATTCCCACATGTTGTTCCGATACAATTTTCTTTTTTAAAATTTTCCAGTGGGTACATGTGATTGCTGGAAAGAGGTGGCGGTGAGGAGTGAAAAAGCAACCCCTACCCCATGGGGCATAGCCACACTATAATCATTCTTCATTTCTCCCTCCTTTCAGGATTTTGAGCACACACACTTGGCATGTTTCTCAAGTCTCCGGGTCTGGGATTTGAACTGTGTAGTCAGCTATGTAGGATCCAGCTGCCTTAATCACTTTGCCACTGGCTGTCTTCGGTATTTTTTTGTAATGCTAAAAGGCACCTACAAGTTCATGAGAGAGAGAGCGAGAAAGCACCCGCATCCCCCAGTGGGGCTTAGTTATGCTGCAGTTCTTTTTCCTCCAATTCTCTCATCAGGACCCTGGACACATATGTGCATTCCCAGCATATTTGTTTGTTTTCATTGCTAGAGGGCATGTATATTTACCAGAGAGGTGGAGAGGGAGGAAGCACCCCCAGATAGGATGTGTTCTCCTCCATTTCTCTGTCCTGTCAGGATTTGGGACTTATACATGGAAGTGCCTGGCATGTTTTTTAAGCCACTGGGGCCAGTATTCAAGCCGTGACTGGCCATGTTTAATCCAGCTCCCGTACCCGCTAGGCTATAGGGCTGGCCCCACCACCCAACATGTTTTTAAGCAGTCAGATCTAGGACTCAAAACCTAGTCAGCAATATAGGATCCAGCTTCTGTGCAGCCCCACAGAGCTGTCCCCCACGACCCAATATTAGCAGCACCTGTCTTCTCCAAAGTATCCTGCTTTGAGTGTGGCCTGTGTGATCACCCGAACTGTGGGATAGAAGGGTAGGTTTGATGGTTACCTCTCTTTTCCCCATCTCAAGTTGTGCCATAATGATAGTAAAGATTCGGATAATACTCGTATTTGGACAGTGCTCTACAATTTGCAAGATGTTTTTTAAATCATCAGTACATTTAAACTTTATTTATTAGCATTTTCAACTTTTACCAAAGTAGTTACTGAAATATCCTGTATTTCTTCAAAATTATAGTCAGCCAAGTAACTCTTGGGGAGGAAAGAGATACTTCTACAGTGATTGTACACTTTGTATAAGATATTGCAGTTTGAGAAATAAAGTGTCAAAATAAAAATATGGATCTTAGAATCAAAAAAATATCACGACTACCTAAAAAAAAAACAGGTCAGTGATTCCGAAAGTAAGATGAAATATATCAGATAGTAGGGGACACGCTTTATGACACACCGAGTTTAACAAGTCAAATAGTTGACGTTTTACTATGAGACTTCTCAATCTGCAGCATATTAATGTGCACCCCGGGTTTCCTACAGGGGGAGGTGACAACATTTCTCCAGTACAGTTAACCCTGGGATCCTTTCTCAGGGACCTCCTCCCAGGGTAGTGGTCCCCAGAACACAGACTGGGAAACTTGTCTTGTGTAGGCATATCAGAGAGAGGTCTGTGGCCTGTCCTTGCAGACTGTGGAAACGTGGCCTACAGGGGAGGGGTGAAGGGATGTGTGTTTATCCCAGGGAAACTGTTGGCAGCCTTTTCAGGTCATCCTGAGGGTATTAACAAGGCTTACTTGAACTGTATCAGCAGTAGGCCCTGTGAAAAAGGTTCTTTGGGGACCAGCAGTTAGCATGATGGCTATGTCGCTGGACTCCCATGTAGTCGACCGCGGTTCGCGTTCGGACCTGGTGGCTTAAAACTCACGCCAGGCACATGTGTGTGTGTGCCCAAGATCCCGAGAGGAGACCAGAGGAGAAGGGATTGAGGCATGGCCATTCCCCCCTGGGGGATAATTTCTCACTTTCCGTCTCTCTGTCTCTCTCTGTCTGGTAAGCGCACGTGCCCTATAGCAAAAACCTCTCCAAAAAAAAAAGGTTCTTTGCTGGAAGAGTCTTTCTGCCATGATAGCAACACCCATCTGAGGGAGAAGTGGGCTCTTGCCTAAGGCTCCAGAGCCTTTCCAGGATCTGCTCTTGAGGATTTGCTTTTCTGGCTCCCTTTGCCCTGAGGACAGAGGAAAGTACTTATTTATCTTTAGTGATACATTTTTTGGAGTGTGGGCTGAGGATGGAGCATGTAAACTCAGTCAGTGCTACTGATTTAGAAGATTAAAAAATAACCATATTCTTCTTATCACCTTTCAAAACTCAATTAGCACAAGTAAGCAAAGTGAAAATGTAATACCCTTCCAGTCTACCTTTAGTTCTGACCAAGAGAACGCCTATCAATGGAGATAATAAGAAAATATTACCTGCAAGCTCTGGGAAAGTAGAAGGCCCAGCTCAGTGCCTGCTGTCTATAAGGTCCACGACTGCCGAACTGCCCTCGGACTTTCAGTGATGCGGTCACTTGTCTTTATGCATCAGGTGTTTTATCCCCCTCGTCTTCACAATTCCGTAAGGATGAGTAGTATTCAAGGTTCACTTTTTTTAGACAGAAATGCTAAGGTTTGGAGTTGTATATCCTCAGAGCCAAGGTCAGACTTCTTTGTCACTAGGTGGTCATTCTTGCTTAGCCAAAGGACCTACTGGTGACAATCTACTGTTTGTTTTGTTTAAAAGAGGCTTTTGCCTTACGGTGCGTGTGCTCGCCCTGAGAGAGACAGAGACGGTAACAGTGACAGTAAGAGGAAAGTGAGAAATCCCACCCCAACTGCGCAGGGGATGGCCACACCACAATTCCTTCTCCATTCTTCTCCTGGAATCTTGGGCATGCACACACATGTGCCTGCTGTGAGTTTCAAGCCACTGGATCTGGAACTCAAACTGCAGTTAGCCATGTGGGAGTCCAGCAATGTAACTGCTATGCCATCTACTGGCCTGACAATCTACTGTTAAGGACACAGGGCGTGGGCATCAGCTAGAATATGTTAAACATGAAACAGGTGAGTCACAGCGGTGCTTAAGTTTATGAATGAAAAGTAACTGAAGAATACATTCAAATTCCATTCAGAATCTCCCAATAGACAGTCTGCTCCAAGCCTATTTGGAAACATTTTTAACTTTACACCTCCTTGTGAGTTTTAGGAAAACAGAATAAGAAATCTTTCATGGAAGGATCTAAATATCTAGAATGTACCCAAGAGACTGAAACAGCTTCTTCTGAGCTTCTCCAGTCTCCTGGGGACATGTGTAATTAGACCAAAAACAAAACAAAACACATCGGCCAGGCCTGGGAGACACAATTTCAATCTCTGGGGTAAGTACTGCCATTAGGCAGGTTTTTCAGAAGCATAATTAAGAAAAAAAACTTTGTCCCCCAAGGGACAAGAATGGCTACTTTTGTCTAATTATGCAGTAGGGATCAGAGCTATTCACAGTAGAAATCCTTTTAAAAGACTATGTATCAAGAAAGGGTAAGAGGCAGAGTCTGTAGTGTTGCATAAAGACAGACAGGTATTCAACCTTTACCAGTCTTTTAAAACAAAAATGGCACCTTCATTTCTTGCATGGTGTCATTCCTGTTTTCCAGAGAAACTATTTTCCTGCTACTCCAATTTTAAAAATTAAGCTGCACCAAAACCAATAAAACTCTCTTTCTGCTGCAGGAGATCACAGTGCCAGCAGATATCCTCCTCATCCAGAATTCATAACCATGAAATTGTCCTGGCTGGGTTGCCATGATTCAGCCTGAAGGGGCGTTGTGTCATTGAGTTCTGAGGCCCTGAGGATGGGACCTATGAGGAGACCGTGCACAGCCTCAGAGCAGACTGTTCTGTGCGCTGACTAGTGACGTTTCATTTTGTTCCTTTGATTTCCTTCCTTTTTTCTATTCCTCAGGTTTCTTAGTAAGCGCATAATCTCATACTAGACAGCAAGTGCTAGAGTGCACCAGAGCCAGTCGGCCAGGTCAGACGTGCCTAGGATTAACCTAGACCGACCATTCTCAGGGTGTTTGTGCCCTCTACTTGCAAAGTAGAAGTTTTAAAACTGAAACAGGATCCAAGGTTTCTGCTGCTTTATCCTTTTACTCTGAGAATCTTAACCTCAACCCCAATAAAGTAAGACTCCATTTATCCTTTTCTGTTTAAAAGATGGCCTTTGGTTGACCCTCATTCAGGAACAACTAGTGGCAGAGACGGTGGTGAAAGTCACCACAGGGCTCCATTCACAGCCTGTTGGGCCAGTTGGGTACCCTGCCAGGATAGCGACAATGCTTAAGTAGAAAGGACTGCGCTTCACCCTGGTCTGGCTGGAAATGAAAGGACTGCAGAAATTGTAAACGTAACGTCCCTGTTGACTTGAAGCAGACTAGTGCCTCATTGTAAGGGTAGGTTTAGGGAAGACTTTAAATCATAGCCAGGGGGTAAACTTCAGGATGCAGGTCTACTCTGTATCTGCCATTTTTCTAACAGGTAGGCAAGAATTTGCATGGCAGCCACCCAAGTGATTTAGCTGTTTTCATTTTTCGCATCAACTCCTCACCTGCACAGTGTGGTTGTAGTTTATCATTGCAGGAGTAACTGAGTAACTTCTCACGGTCTGTGCAGAATGTGCAGGTATTTGGCTACGTGATGGTACAGCTTAAGAAAACAGCTTCAGTAGCAGTCAGCCCAGAGCTGTTGCTGCTCTGAGGACAGCCGTGCTTGTGTTTTACAGTATGCCCTGGAGCGTCTGAAGGTCATGTGTGAGGATGCCCTCTGCAGTAACCTCTCCGTGGAGAACGCCGCAGAGATTCTCATCCTGGCTGACCTCCACAGCGCAGATCAGCTGAAAACTCAGGCCGTGGATTTCATCAACTAGTGAGTTGGCATCTTCAAAGTACTTCTTTCAAAATAGTTGGATAGTTAAAGAAATGAGAAAGACTTTGTATTAGTGAATAAAACAGGCAAGTAGCTTCATTAACCTTTTGGTTCTAAGGGTAGGGTTTTCATCTTTTCCTTCAGCTTGACAGTTTGGAAAATGGCTTAGCTTTCATGGGCTTAATCCTATTGGTGAGTGAAGTGTTTTAGTTCCTCATGGTAATTGGAATTGATGGAAATGATGAAACTTGCCAGCCTGAAAAGGCCGTGTGCCCCAAATGGTAACATCTTTACTTCAACACTCACTTAAAAAGACACAGATTTTGAGGAGAATAGAAGTATTTCTTTACAAGTTCATAATCTGTATCCCTGTGGGATGGGGAAAAGAGGAGGGACATTTAGTAGCTGAGGTCCTTACAGATTGTTTGGAGAAAGAGACATTTGTTCATTTCACCAGATCTGTTTCTTTATTCTGAGTGACAGGCAGCGTGGCCATATTACTTCCCAAAATAATGCGAAAGGGGCCAAGACGAGTCACGACTACAGCCCTTCTCAGTGGGGTGCGTTCTGCTCCCTGGACTGCTCCGAGGGGAGAAGCAGCTTTATAAAGCCCTCACAAGAGCAGTTGTGGGCTAAGACAGGCCTGAGAGGGTCCGTGTAGATGAGTGAGCGGTATTCAGCACTGAAGGTGCCTGGAGACAGGAAGCAGTGTCCTCTAGTTGCAGGACTGTTTTGCAGGAGTTACCAGTTGAGGCAGAAGACGGAGGGAAGAGACCAATAAATGTTAGTGCTGTTGAGTGCTCACTGCATGCTAGACGCTTGCTTTGAGATTTTTTTTTAGCTATTGACTCAGCCACTGGGTAAAGAATGCATAGTACCCCCTTCTTCTTGATCATCAAATAGACCCCAGCTTCTTATCTTACTCAGAGCTCACAAGACCAGTGAATGGCAAAGCCGGGCTGAAGCCCAGAGCTACCCAACCTCAGGAACCCTTGCATTTCCTGCATGTCAGCATCACCGCAAATGGAAAGGTTCCAGCAGTGTGGAGAAGGGTCTGGGGAACATTCTGCCTTTTCTTAAAGAATTATTTTTTAGGGGCCAGCAGATGGCATGATGGTTAAGGGCATTGGACTCCCATGTGGCTGACAGCAGTTTGAGTTCCAGACCTGGCAGCTTGCTTTCTCATTTTCTCTCTCTCTCTTGCTCACTTGCTCTGTCCCTCTCTGGTCAAATTAAAATAAATAAATAAAATAATTTTTAAAACAAGAGTTATTTTTTATTTAACTTACTTTCTTTTCTTTTTTTTTCTTTTTGGAGAGATTTTTGCTATAGGGCACGTGTACTCACCAGAAAGACAGAGAGAGATAGAGACAGAAAGTGAGAAATCACTCCCCAAAGGGGATGACCGCGCTTCAGTCACTTCTCCTCCACTCTCCTCTCTGGATCTTCGGCACACACGCACACATGCCCAGCGTGAGTGTAAGTTACTAGGTACGGGACTCGAACCACAGTCGACTACATGGGAGTCCAGTGACATAGCCATTACGCCATCTGCTGGTCCTCTATTTAACTTTATTTTAATTTGACCAGAGAGGGACAGAGTGAGACCAAGAGAGAGACGGGGGGAAGTGAGAAAGCAAACCACTAGTTCTGGGACTCGAACTGTGGTCGGCCATGTGGGAGTCCAGCGCCCTTAACCACCATGCCACCTGCTAGCCCACAACATTCTGCTTTTTGTTTCTGAGAGCACTGTGGCGCACAGTCCTGCTTTTCAGCATCACAGCAGCCACCGCCCAGTCACCAGGTTGCACATTGTCTTACAAGCAGATTCTCAGGCCTGTTCAGGGATCGGAGTGTTTCCTACGCTAACATCCTTCATACCGAGCACTGAAAGATGAGACTGTCCCGGTGGCTGTGCAGCCTATCCTGTGCTCACTCCCTGTGGTAACCCATCTCTCCGCATTTCTCCTAGTCACGCTTCGGATGTCTTGGAGACCTCCGGGTGGAAGTCGATGGTGGTGTCGCATCCCCACTTGGTGGCTGAGGCATACCGCTCTCTGGCTTCAGCACAGTGCCCTTTCCTGGGACCCCCACGCAAACGCCTGAAGCAGTCCTAAGATCCTGCCTGTTGTAAGACTCCGTTTATTTTCCAGAAGCAGCAGCCACCGTTGCTGCCACTGACCACCAGGTAGACAGCGCAATCTGTGGAGCTTTTACTCTGTTGTGAGGGGAAAGACTGCATCGTGGCCCCGGACTTTTAAAACAGCACTAAATAACTTGGGGGAAACGGGGGGAGGGAAGGGCCCGGGACTCGGGGCTGTTCAACCTAATGAAAACCCTGTTGCTGCGTCACTGTGTTCCCTTTGGCCTGGCCGAGTTCAATACCGTGGGGATTCAGTTTAGGCGCTGGCCCCGAGGACATCCCAGCGGTGGTACTTCGGAGGAACCTGTCTGCATCTGACTGAGCAGAACAAATCGCCAGGTGCCTGGAGCAAAAAGGAAAAGAAAAAAAAATGGACTTTTAGTTTTAAGAGAAGGGAAAAGGAAAGAAGAAAGGATTTTTGCAGCATTTCTCAAAAATCAGTTTGTGGATTCCAGTAGTATTTATGTTGAGAGAAACAAATTTTAGTCCTTCCAACTGTGCTAAAACTTGGATATTTGTGAAAACTCCTCACCACCGTACAAGTATCAGAAGAGCTCTCTTGTTAGCACTTATTGTTTGCAAGAACAGAATACATCCTTTTATCTTTTTATGAAAATGACGAGTGAAAGCAAAAGGGGAAAGAGGTTATTTGATCTAGAAGATGAGTGTTCTGATATGGTGGTTTTTGCAAAAATCTTTATTGGTGTTGAAAACTGGAAAAAATAATTCCTCCAGAATTCATACTGTCTTGACAAGAACTATGGTTCTCTGTTTTTAGATATTGTGGAAAATGTTTTTTGGCATTTTTCTCTGCTTTTATTTCTCCTCCCTCCTCCCTTCCTTTTTTCTAAAAAAAAAAAAAAAAAAAAAAAAAGAAAAACAAAA